TATTAGTGGTATTACGGTAGTGCCAAGACCCCGCTGTGCCAGGCGCTGCACGAACACAGAGAAAGGGAGAGCGGGGACCCGCTCGCAAACTCCAGAGACGCCAAACGCGCGGGCCGTGGGATTTGGAACACGTGCGGTGACGTTCAGAACCACGCTGCTTTCCTAGCGCAGGCAGGGCTGGGGTCAGATCCCAGGGAGACGGGACCTGCGGTTCCTCCCGGCGCAGGGAGCCCGGCCCGGCCGCCCCGGCACAGTGTTGGCCCCTGGCAGTTTGCTTGTTGCCCGGCTGTTTGGAAGGAGCCAGCTACTATTCCTCTCTTTTAAATTTGCAGCTCTGTTCCCTCTTCAGGTAGCGTGGGGCGCCCAGACGACGCGGCTTCCACCCTGGGTAGGTGAAATCCCCTCGCTGGGGCTGGGGCAGGCGGCCGGGGTCCCTGGGCGGCAGCAGAGAGCGCCTGCCAGCACCCCGGGCCGGCTACTCCATGGCGCCTGCAGCATGAGCTCATGGGGTGGGGGCGCCCTCTGGTGGCCGTCGCTGGATAAAACAACCCCCTCTTCCCGTTGCGGGTGTACGGAGGCCGGGAGCAGGACCCCGCTTTGCAGCGTTGCCCCTCCGTCTGCGGGGGTTAGGGGTGATGGCTCGGCTGGGGAGGGGGGAGCTGCCTCCCTCATCGCGATCTCAGGTTTCAGTGCAGGGTGGGTTCCAAGCCCCGGGTTGTTCGGTGCCCTGTGTGATGAGTTGGTTGGGTCTCCGCTGCCGGCGGTCTGGGGCAGCCTGGGCTGTGTGTTCCAAGGATAAAAGGCGACCGTCTTGTCGTTCGTTAGCAGAGGGGCCGCGTTAGGGAAAGAAAGCCGGGGAGGCTGGTAGCCAGTACTCCTGGGTTCTCTTCCCAGCTCTGCATGGAGAGTGGGGTCTAGTGGTTAGAGCCGGGGGGGGGGGGGACAGCGCTGGGAGCCAGTACTCCTGGGTTCCCTTTGCAGCTCTGCGAGAGGAGTGGGCTCTAGTGGTTAGAGCTGAGGGGACAGGGCTGGGAGCTAGGACTCCTGGGCCACCTTTTCCCAGCACTTGTGGGCTGGATTCCATCTCAGGCTAAGGTGGACGTGAGGGGTGGGTGGGTGTTGTTTAGCTGTATTACGGTAGTGGCCAGGAGCACTAGTCATGGACAGGGTGGGGTGTGGAGCAGGGAGCCAGGACTCCTGGGTTCTAGTCCCAGCTCTGCCCCTGACTCAGGGTGACTTTGAGTCACTTCCCCTGCGGGGATGGGGGGGCGATCCCGTGCTGGGAGATGTTGGCGGAGGGGGAAGGGCTGTGTTCATAGCTAGCACCCGCTCCTGCCCCCCTTTCCCTTGGCGAGTGTGTGCTGGGCACCCCAAGACTACTGGCTCTCCCTCAGCCCGGGCTGTTGTCCCCTTCCGCCCGCAGTGACCGGCTCGGAGTACGAGACGATGCTGACCGAGATCATGTCCATGGGATACGAGCGGGAGCGGGTAGTGGCCGCGCTCCGGGCCAGCTACAACAACCCCCACCGAGCCGTGGAGTACCTGCTGACGGTAAGGGAGCACCAGGGCTTGGAACAGGTCGAGCGAGGGGGGCAGGACTCCTGGATTCGATCCCCAGCGTGGGGAGGGGAGCGGGGTCTAGGGGGTTCAACCGGGGGGGCCAGGACTCCTGGGTTTCATTACCATTGACTCGCTCTGTGACTTTAGGCAAATGATTTTTTTTTCCATCCACATCTGGATGGCTTACGGGAGTGGGACCCGTAAGGACACAGGTTCTGATCGAGCCCAGGGGTGCCCGCATTGCCTGGGGCTAGCTCGCCCCCTCGTTGGCAGGACATGGGGAGCTGGACAAACCCCAGGTTCCTTTCGGGCCCCTTGCGGGGTGAGCCCTGTGGGGCAGGGGCTGCTGTGGGGGGAGGGGCGCTAGACAGCACTAACGATGCCCCTTTGACTTCACAGGGTATCCCGGGCACCTCCGAGCCGGAGAGAGCCCCGATCCAGGAGAGCCAACCCACAGAGCAGCCAGCACCAGAAGGTTAGTGACGGTCCTCCCGCTCCTATGTGAGATGTAGGGACCGTGGTGGGAGGGGGAGACCTGGGGCGGCCGGGCCGGGGGCTGGAGCTGCGTGGGAGAAGTCTCTCGCGCTTGTGGAGCGGGGGCTATGGAAGGCCGCTGAGAGCCTGCAGCCAGGGGAGGCAGATGGTGACCCGAACTGGTCCCTTGGGGAGGAGGGAGTGGTTCCAGGCCCTCTCCCCCTGGCTAGATACCCCCCTTATCCTGTGATCACCAGTGCCCCACCTGTGTGGGGCATGGCTCAGGTGGGCCCTGCCCCGTCAAGGCCTGGCCTGGCTTCATCCCGCCCACTCCTGCCCCGCAGGCGAGAACCCGCTGGAGTTCCTGAGAGACCAGCCCCAGTTCCAGAACATGCGACAGGTGATCCAGCAGAACCCAGCCCTGCTCCCGGCCCTGCTCCAGCAGCTGGGCCAGGAGAACCCCCAGCTACTGCAGGTAAAGGGGGGCAGGGGCTGAAAGCGGAGCTGGATACCTCTGCTGAAATGTGCATCAAAGTGGCATCATTAGTCCTCAGAGTGAACAGGGGAGTCTTCCAAGTCTTTCCCACCTGGTCAGATACAGAAAGGGCCATTGCTGGGTTCATGGCGACCTCCAGAGACTCATGGACTCATGGAGGAGGAGCCGGAAGTAGCACTGTGGGGGGCAGGACTCCTGGGTTCTGTGCCTGGCTCTGGGAGGGGAGTGAGGTCTGATGGGTTAGAGCGGGGGGGGAGGGGGAGCCAGGACTCCTGGGTTCTGTGCCTGGCTCTGGGAGGGGAGTGAGGTCTGATGGGTTAGAGCAGGGGGTGGGAGGGGGAGCCAGGACTCCTGGGTTCTAACCCTGGCGCTACCAGTGGGTTGCTTTGTGACCTTGAACAAGTCCCTGCCTCTCTCTTTCCCGCTGGGAAAAGGGGCTGTGGAGGCCCTGCTCTTGGAGGGGAGGGGCGTCGCTCCCTAACCCTGACCCCCTCCCCCCTGCCCTCCCCCAGCAAATAAGCCAGCACCAAGAGCAGTTCATCCAGATGCTGAACGAGCCACTGGGCGAGATGGCCGACATCTCTGACATCGAGGGGGAGATCGGGGCCATCGGAGAGGAAGCTCCCCAGATGAACTACATCCAGGTCACGCCTCAGGAAAAAGAAGCCATAGAAAGGGTAAGGGGGGGGCTGGCTGTGCCAGGAGCCACCCTGCCTGCTGGGGTGCCCCGGGGTCCCTGCGCTGGAGAGCCCCAACAAGGGTGCAGTGGGGTCGTAGAGGCTGGGAGCTAGGACTCCTGGGTTCTATCCCCAGCTCTGTGCCAGGAGTTGGGGTCTAGTGGTTGGAGCGGGAAGGGGGCGAGTGGAGGCCAGGACTCCTGGGTTCTATCCCCAGCTCTGTGCCAGGAGTTGGGGTCTAGTGGTTGGAGCGGGAAGGGGGCGAGCTGGAGGCCAGGACTCCTGGAGTCTGTTTCTGTCCGTCCTTGACTGCTCCAAAAGCCTGATCCGGTCTGATGCTGAGCCCCTTGAGCTGGGAGTTGACCAAGATCTGAGTTTGGTTATTAACATAAAGGCCGGGTTGTAGCCTTGACCACACTGGGTGGGGGGTGGAGACGGGACAGAGGCGCCGAGGGGGGAGTAGACAGCTCTGACTTTGCAAGCAATGGAGCATAACTAATTTGGTCCTCCCCCATCAGGGAGGACCACGCCCATTTGGGGGAAGGGCAGCGCTGCCAAGCTCCACCCACAATATCCCAGCGGAGCTGGATACCTCTGCTGAAATGTGCGC